CTACTTACCAGCTCCGAGTCTGGCTCCAGCTCCCTGCTGCAGCGGGCGGGGACTGTCCAAATCATCAAAGCTTTCCAAGTTTTTTCCAAAGATTCGGAAAGCTTCGAACCAATTCAGACCTTTTTATTGGTCCCCTGATTCAGTTCAGATTTGGAGATTCAGCCACTGAATCAGGCTGAATCTCCTCCCACAGCTTTGCACAGCCCTAATGTGATACTGTTTTCTAAGTGGCTTTTCCATTGTAGCTTACACAGCACACCCCTGCAGAATTAGTCTTTCTAAAACTGACAAAATTTATGATGCAAGAAGATATTTCCTATTGGTTTCTAAATACATATGTGTGTTTTCTTATCCTCTCAATATAAGTATAAGCTGTGCTATACTATTTGCTTTATAATCACAGTATACAGTTTATGTTGTATAAATACACTTTCATGGACATTGTCTACATGAGGCTTTTTTCCTTTAGCTTTTAATTCTTGCTACCACAGAGAAGAGGTCAACAAGCAACAGAATGGTGAGAATAACAATGTGCACAACGTAGTAGAAAATGCTAGCTACTTGTCTATGCTGTCAGTTCTACCACTGAAGTTGTACTGGCATGTGCAATGGTAAGAAAAGGCTGATATAAATGCAGATCTGTAATCCTCAAAGATTATTCATTGGTAATCCTCAAAGATTATTCATTGGTGTGGCTGTAGTCCAAAAGATCCCAAGACATTTTATCTGTTGCTTTCTCTGCAGAGCTTAGGAAGCATCTCAAGCCCTTTCATCCGAAATCCCTTTCATTGGCATTGAATCCCAGTATATTTACACTTTTCTTCTTTTGCAGACTGGTCCATGAGTTAAAGGTGAACTGCATGCAGAAGAGGAAAATAGAGATTCACGGTCCAGATTCCTCGGTTGCTGGAACCAACAATTTTAAAATAATAGTGGTATGTTATGAGCACTTTTAAGTTTTCAGAACAGGAAGAAGAAGGCTTTGATTTGGAACAATAATCAAGTGCTTCATATGAGTTCTGTGATAGGTAGTAGCCTGGCAGACAGGTTTGTGTACACTGGGCATCAGTGTTCTCTACAGCAGATTGCGCTGCTGGTTTCACCACCCACACATTCTGAGACAAGACATTTCACACCTAGTGCCCTTTGGGACCGGTGAAGTGCAGCTCCTTAGCTTGTGACAGTCTCTTTTGAACAGTCTGCAGTGGGAATTTTAGACTTTTTGTTTGAAGGGAAAAAATCCCTTGGGTCAAATTCTGCTAATGACTTTCTAAATCTTGAGGAGGAGACTTTCCCTACCCTGAAGTGCTTACAGTCTACCAAGGCAAAAGCATATGAAGAGTGTGGGAAGGGATGGATGTATAGGTGGACTTGGAGATGAAAGGAGGACTGGAGAAGTCCACGTTATTTCCACTGTGTAACAGGGCCCAAGCCCTGTTACTGAGAGTAGGGCTAGACAGTAAAATTACAAAGCTGCAGTTGGTGAACTGCTGACAGCTAATTAGGTTCTGGCCTGCTAAGGTGTCCTGAACTCAGGAGGAAGAGCCAGAAGCTGTATAATTCCTGTACCTGAGGTAGAGGGCTGGCTGACCTGGGCAGTGCTGGAGGCCTCTGAGACGCTCCACAGAGGGGTTTAGAATTTAGATCATTGTCAAATTGGTGGGCTGCCAGAAGCCTGTAAACTGTGACCAGGCTGTCAAAGACCAGGCTGTGACCAGGCTGAGAAGGTGCAGGGCAGGGCACCTAGGGTCACCATTCTGGTTCTCTGGGGTCAACCTCCCAGAGTTAATAATCACAGTCAAGGCATGGCAGGTGAAAACAGGATGGTACCCATTGTGAGATTAGAGTAGAGAGTGGAAGGGGTGGGATTGGAGTGGCCACAAGGAGATGCCATTCCCACTGCTATCAGTGGATCTTTTTACACACTGAAATATTAATGCAGAATTCCTTTGTATCAATGGTCACTGATATTTCGTCCTGACAGCTGGGTCAGTCCACAGTGACTATGCTAGAACTCAGCCAGTTGGCAAGATTGTTCATTCTTGGCTGGGGATTGAGTTAGAAAGTAATTCCTTGTATTTTTTTTTTTTTTTTGTGGAGCTGTGTAGAATGGAGAGAGTTTCTCTCAGCATTTTAATGATGAATTGCATAGGGAGCAGGGTTGATGGCTTCTTCAGTGGTGGAGTCAGTGAGAAAATCTAAAGCCAGTTCTAATTGACTATAATGATGTTGCTCTTATTTTGCAGGCAGATGCTGCTTGCGAGCGGATATTTGCTGTGAATGATGTAGAGCATGGGGGATGTAAATACGGTATCATCAACCTCAGTGGCTTAGGGAAAGAGTCTCTCACTGTGGAGATGTATGACAACCTCTACTTCACAAACCGCAAGGTACTCTTCTGTTTCCTGTTCCTCATCCAGGATGATTTTCTTTAGTTCTGTAACTCCTGAAATGATGTAACTTGGGCTTTGTAAGTGGAAATGAGAAAGGAGGCAGAATGGGGAAGAAAAGAGAAATAGCAGAATCCAGCAGTATGAAGTTGGATAAACGGAGATCCTGCAGTGACTCATAGTCTGATGCTTCCTAATGCTCCATAATCACACTCAACCTGACACCTTTTGTGAACATTGCATACCTTCAGAATTATTCCTGTCAGTGCTTGTTAAAAAGACAAGTTCTGACAGGCTACAATTCTGCTGTTCCTGCTTTGTTTACTTTATTTTTTTCTTAAGAAAACACTACTTTTCCATCAATGGGAACAACTTTTAGGACAATGGTCAACAATGTAAGTGTTTTGATATCTGAAAATACAGTGTCTTTGCTAGAATGAAGTGCTGTGTGGATTCATCCAGGTTTGGAGGTGGTTTTTGGCTGTTGTTCTTTTTCTGCTTTCCACCAGCCCTAGAGAGAGGCTGATATGCTGTTCTCTACATGCCATTACTGAGCTAGTCATCTCTAGTAATTTCCTGGGTTGCTCCCCTTTGCATTCTCTGTAGGCTAAGGGTGTGAGCAGAACTCCTCCGACTTGCTGTGTTCCGAAAAAAGTCCTTTAATGAATTAAACCAGAAGTTTGTCTTGCATATGTTCATAGGTGAATTCTGTGTGCTGGGCATCACTGACTCATCCAGATTCCCATGTTTTATATCCTTTCTGATTAAGAAAAAAAAAACTTAGGCATGGTTCCACTAAACTAGCTGTTCTGTGAAGCACATAGCAGCTGTCAGTAAGAAAACTCCAAAGTAATACTTTTCTGGAAAATAACCAAAAAAAAGCTGTGAAGTTTGAAATATGGTAGAGTCTGAAACACATGTTATTGCTGAAACCTAACTATTCATGGCACTGTTCAGATATAAAATAAGGCAAAAGGCAAGGTTCCTGGCTCAGTCTTAAGAACTTCTCACCTACTTCACAGAGTAGGTGCATCAGATCATTTTGGGTGTGGAGAGAAAGAAGCTGAGATGTGAAAACAGAAGGATAAATGGGAAAACTTTCAATAAAGCTCTCTTAAAGCAGCAGCCTATCAGAATGTCAGATTTGGAATTGGAAATGAGTAGCACCTATTTCAAAACTAGTGGCAAAATGCTAAGCAAAAGATAAGCCATCCACTAAGTATCTTAAAAGATTTGGTAGGTATCCTGGAGGGTGTGACAGGAGTGTCATTATTGGAGCCTGTCTGGGTATAGCTCTACCCTCCTGTACTGGGCCAACCACCTGCTTACTCGTCTGCCATGCCTTTGATCTTGTTTAATTAATAGATTGCTATAATTGGCGGGAGGCTGCCCATTTTTCTTGTGTGCCCCGATGATGGGGCGTTATCTGCGGCTCCTTGTCCTCCCCTACACCGCAGCCCAAGCCTCGCAGATGGTGCTGGTGTGATCTGACTTTGACCCTGTTATATCTCAGGCCTCCTTTTTACCTTCGGGGCTCCTCAACACCCCTCTGCCCCCTCAGGGTTCCTCTGTGCCCTCGGGGCTCCTCGCTGCCCCTCTCACGCTCTGGGGCTTCTCGCTGCCCCCGCCCCTCTTAGCTCCAGGGTTGTGGCCACCACGCCCCCAAACAATGCTGCACCCTCTCTGGCACCAGGAAACCCCACGCTACCGTGGAGCTCCTATGAGGCCTCCTCCACCCCTAATAGCCTCACCCGGTCCTCCGGTCAAACAGTAAACAAAAGACAAAGCCCCCCCAGGCTATAACATAAAGCTAACCGTCCGGTCAGAATCACTATCTGGCAAAATACTCCCGCTCACAGTAGTAACCTGCAGATACTCATGCGGCCAAACCTTGGCCTTCTCTCTGCACGGGCCAAGCTCCTCACTCCTTGGCTGCCAGAGGAGGAACTGCCCTCCTGGCCTCATGCTTGGGCTTAAGAAGGGGCCAAGCCCTGCCCCCTTCCTGTCAGCTGATCCCCTTGGTTCCCCTAGCAACCAGCACCTGTGCTGCCCTGGAATCTGGCAGTTGCGCCTCCCCTTTCTCACCGCCAGGGGCCTCTCTTGAGCCGTCCCTGTTCTCAGGCGCAGGGCACCTAAGTGCTCTGCGACACAGGGGTATTGGGTGGAAAAGTTGTCATAGAAGGAAGAAGATGAGAAAAGCGTACGAGCATGGTAGTGGCAGATTAAGGGTGTACTGGAGTAATATCACAGTAGGTGAGATGTAGCAAGATAATATAATTATGTAGAGACCTGATGAAGAAAATCAGGAATTACAGTATTGATCCAGAGGATGACAGGAAAATGATGGATAGCCAAGGAGTGTCATGATCATGGCACTGAGAGAGAAAGTGGACTTTTCACAAGAGTATTCCAGACTTCACTGATTTCTTCTTTTTTTCCCCCCTCTACTACAGTCTAGTCTCTCTCAGTTTTATTGTACCCAGTCTGGAAAAACAGGTTAAAAATCTGCCCATTCCTGCTACAGTCCCTAGAGGGCACTGTGATGCAACATAATTCATTTTACAGTGGAAAATGAATGTATAAATTAAATGGCCTTGTTGCAAGTTATACTCAGGATATGTTAACCACACTTAAGGCAAGTGTCTGAGTGTTCAAGCAGCAAAACACATACTAAGTGCCGTTGTCATGTAACAAAGCTAGGACTTTTGCAGCAAGGAGCAATTCCAAATAGTATTACCTTCGTGAAGCAATCAGATGTTAGCTCAATATGCGTTAGGTAATACAGTCAGGAGACTTCAGTGCAATGGGGGGCTGGGACTGACAACAGCTGTTTCTCAGCCCCACCCTACCCCACTCCGTTCCCCCCACCACTGCACCAGACTGGGTTCCTGTGTGGTATGGGGGCTGGGACTGACAAGCTGCTGTTGTGAGTCCCAGCTCCCACAGCACATTACAGCACGCTGGAGTCTTCATGGGGTTTGGCAGGTCTTATTTAGATCATTAACATTTGGCTCCTCAAAAGACTTAACTCATAGTAATGCTTGCTACAATCTAATAAAACATATCCTAAGTGTAACATGTGACAAGACCCTTAATGTGAAAATGAAATGAGTTAGTTCTCTGTTCTTCACTCTCTAAGAGCTGCTTGGCTGATATTCTTGTATTACTGAAAAAAGGAGTGGTTTATTAGTTTCTCCTTCCCTTTCTGGTAATGCTGATTATACAAATTGGAATCGTAGCCCTTTCTTATGAGAGAAGGGAAGGGACCACCCCAGAGCATGGTAAGGCTTAATTCATTGACTGTGAACTACTTTAAAAGTCATGAGAGCTGCTAACAAAGAGCGAAACATTGCATATACTAGTACAACTGAGATGTCTTGCTTTTCTCCCATATGGTAATATTACTCAGCCTGGGAGAGATTTGGTTTTCCTTAATTCTGTCCAGCAAGCTGTGTCTCATGGGAATTGCAGAAACTCCAGGTTGTATCAGTCTGCTTCCAGCATCATTGTTCATCAGCTCTAATCCAGGTAGGGTAGCTTTTGTTTTTATTAGCACACATAACAAAACATATGTTTTGTTCATAGCATACGTTCATAGGTGAATTCTATGTGTGCGCATAATTCTGAGCTGTTGCAGTCTTTCTGCATTATTTGCAATAGGAGAATAGCCCTGTTATTTTTCTATAGTCAAAAAACACCTGAAAACTAAGAGCTGGCATTTTCTGAGTGATGCTTTCAGTCTGAAAAGGTTGAGAAGCACTGGACTAAGCAGTCTTTGATGTTACGTTTCATAATAATCTGCCTACTAAACTCTGCACTCCACAACCCTCTTCTGTCTTATTATCAGAGTATCGTTTCTCTTCCTGATTGTCTGCTCTTTTTACAGTCCTGCTCCATTCCTGTAAAGCAACCTTTTATTTACATTTGGAGCTTTCCACAGTCTGCATCTGCTGCTTTCTTAGACTATAGGGTGCTTTGTGTGAGAGAGCTTTTCTAAAATCTATCCTAACCATGCAGTTGGTCCAATAAAAGATAACAACCCCCAAAATATCCTTGCCTTACATAGATTTCCTGGACCATCACGACTACAACATCACTCAGACGCTACCTAAATGTTTAACTTTTCTCTTAATTCTTAGGAATTGTTGATCAAAGGAAATTAGAGACAAGAGCATAGTTAGCCTATGATTTTTAGACGATTTAAAATGTTACCTGTTTCCTATACACCCATTTTCACAAAAGACCTTGGGATTATGAACAGCTTGGTCTCCCCCACAGCCAAAGCCGTATCTTTGAATGCAGAGTAGTTTCCCTGATCTCTTCCATGTAAAGGTGTTGTGCAGTTGCACAAACTTCAGGAGAGTGACATTTGATCTCCAGGAGAGAAGGGTAGGTAGTGGCAGGGCAGTAATTGGGTAACAGCACAGTGGAACTGGAGTCCTGGAAAGCTGCAGAAACTTGGTGAAATTTTCAGAGGACTTAGTTCACTTGCAGCTTCATCCTGCCTCTCTGTGGTGTATGGAGCCTCCACAGCTGGTTTTCCTCTCCTCTGTCCTTAGTTGATCAGCCTGGGATGCTCTGCAGCTTCAAGATCTCCACTGGTTGGTCCTGTGCTTGGTGCCTTAACCCCCAGGCAGATAACTGCTTCAGTACAGGTGAGCAGGAATAGCTTTCCAACTATTTCACATGGGCCAGATCTTCAGCATGACCTCCAAGCCGTTTTGCCCAAACTCATAGATGATACATAGGGAGGGCATGGGGTGGGGGGAAGCATGTGCCCCCCCCCTGAATTTGGCTCCGCTGGAGGCACATTGGCAGCAGAGGTGACCAGCCACTGGGGGACGTTCCCCTCATCCCCCCCCAACTCTCTCCCTCCCAGTTGTGCCCCACTGGTGCCCCCCTCCAGACTCAGGAGGCACCAGTCGCCCATGTCCAAGCTGATATATGAATATATTCATATCTTTCTCAGGTCAGACACGGCGGGTTCTTGTGACCAATGTGATTACAGGTCACCGGCAGACATTTGGAACCAGCAGCGATGTCCTGGCACAACAGTTTGCAACCCAGGTAGAAAGGAACAGAAATCTTTAATCTTCTAGAGACGGAGATACCCATTGTGGTGCGACTGCTCCATGATGGGTACAGTGGCTGTTCAGTGATAAAAGTGCCTTTTTATCTGATGCTGACACAGGGTAGAGAAGCAGCAAAAGTAAGTTGTGCTAATTTCAAGCTCCGTTAGTAATATACAGAAGGGGCAAAGGGAATCAGTGTTTGTCAAATGGATATGAGCTAAAAAATAAGTGAATCAAGTACAAGGAATAGTAGTAATAATGCTTGACATTCATAGCATCTTTCATCAGTGGACCTTGAGGTGCAGGACTGCTGCCATTTTACTCTCAAAATTGGAGCAATTTGTTCAGTCATATGGGGTCAGCATTAAAGGTAGAAATAAAATGTAGGTGACCTAATATCCAATTCCCCATCTCTAACCATTGGCGCAAGCTTCTATTTAGTAATTAACTCATCTTTTACTGCTTCATATTTGAAGGTAGAATTGGAAGTTTGTTGTTGGCTGCAGTGTTTCACAATGGGACACTGATACTTTGGTTTTAGCCTACCCTCCATTTTCAGTGAAATTGTTTGTGAATTACAAGACAATGAGAACATGCTTTCCTGGAAAGCCAGCCATAGCAACCTCCTGGAGACAGCTGTAAAATTCTATGAAACGTTATGAGGGTCATTTCCTCTTTCACTTTGTTTTTTTCCAGACTCCAGTGCTGTACAATGGTTGCCGTTCAGGGGAGATTTTCAGTATTGATGTCCGTCAGCGCAGCCAGAAGGGCCAGAGCTGGAAAGCTGTTCGTCTCTTCCATGACTCAGCAGTTACGTCAGTGCGTCTTCTCCAGGCTGAATACTATCTTATGGCAGCAGACATGGCTGGAAAGGTAGAGCTTCATTTCTTTTATGGACAGTTAGAACTTGTCCTGTTTGGTCTACTGGCCAATGTCAAGTTCATCTCTGAATCCTGAAACAGGATGCCATATTCTTTGGAGAACATGTTAGTTATTCTGTATCCCAGCCCTCCCCCTTGCTGACTGGTCAGAAGAAAGTTGTGAATGGCCTATGGAGCTCTGCATTCTCACTTAAGAGACTTGTAGTTCTGTGATGTTTGGAAGTTGTGCTGGGGAAACTTCCTGAGGGCTGCAAAGAAAATGGGATTGTTTTCTTTAAATGCCTTTTTTTCAACCAGGATCCTAAGCCAGTGGTTCAGATAATGTGGCCACTTGTGCCAAGGTCTTAGTACCATATCTTGGGCTGCTGTTTAATTCCCTCTGTTTCCAGATCCATATTTCTGTTTCATCAGCAGCTTACTGTCAGATTGTTTCTACCTTGCTAAAATGTACTTTCTTCCATTACTGTTTCAATTCTCACAGATAAAGCTCTGGGACCTGAGAGTAGCTAAGTGTGTAAAACAGTACAAGGGCCATCACAATGAATATGCCACTCTCCCATTGCACATAAATGAAGAAGAAGGCCTTCTTACAGCAGGTGTGTTGACTTCCAATCAGTATGTGTGTATCTGATGGTGTTTACCTAAAGGCTGGGGAAAGGAAATACTTTTCTAGAAGTAGGTCATTTCAAACTTACGAAAGCAATAATTCCTCTCTAGCTCTTGAGAACAGAATGGTAAGTCATAAGAGCCTAATTGCATTAACATAATTGTTTATATTTTCATTATGTGGCAACTACTTTGGGTTTAAAAGTACTCTTAAGAATTTCATTCAGGACAGGTAGTTGAAAAGATAGGGGAAAGTCACAGCAGTAAATATTTGATTTGGAAGTGCCAGGAAAACAGCACTAAAACCCTTATTTTTAAAAGGATGATTTTTGTAGGAAAGACCTGGGGAGCTCACATTAAATTAATTACTTTTTTTTTCCCTGATGCTCAGGAGAAACAGTGCGATGAAGGTGGTCATTCATGTTCCAAGATATTTTTGACTTTGTCTTTTTGTGTAATACCTTTTATTTTTTATTCTTGGTTTTAGAACCCTTTTGTATCTTATGAATCTACATGCCAGTCTTCTGCAATTTTTGTTCATTTTGAGAGAAGCTGCATAATATTTATAAAGCTCAAAAATACATAATTTTGCTGTGGCTGAAGCCATTCAAATGCATAGAAAGAAAATTACCAGGTCTTAGTAGAAATGCAGTCTCACTGGGTTTTCTATAAGTGGCAAGTTAAGGAAAGTGTTCAAGGTTTTTGTTTGTTTTATTTATTTATTTATTTCTGTTGTGTTTTGTTTGATTTTTCTAATGTCATTGTCTTCTACCCTTCCTTCCTACATTAGTAAAGAACCTGCAAGTGGGTATACCACTTCAGCTATTGATTTTTAGCTCTCACTGTGTTACCGGGCAAATTCTTGTCTCTGGTTATTTCTGTGCCACTGCAACACCACTCCAGAATAGAATAGGCCCGTTGTTTCATTACTAAAGGCTTAATGTTGCTTAAATGCACTGCTTTTGTTTTTTTCTTTGTTTAAAGTTCAAGATTTTTCTTATGGGTGGGTGGCAATGACCAATAATTCTTTCCCAGAGCATATTACAGACAGACCTTTTTTTACTCTTGTGGGTTAAGAATTTTTCAAAGCTGAGTCATGGTTTGTATAGAGGCTTTTCCTTGTTCTGATTCAAATGCCTGCCTCTCCCCAGTTGGTCAAGATTGCTACACAAGAATCTGGAGTCTCCAGGACACCCATCTGCTTAGAACCATCCCTTCTCCACACCCAACCTCAAAGGACTCCATCCCCAGTGTGGTCTTCTCTTCAAAACTTGGAGGGAGCCGAGGAGTTCCTGGCCTGCTAATGGCAGTGAAGCAGGATCTCTACCACTTCTCTTATAGCTGAGGCAATCCATATTGTCCCCAGACTAAGGTTACAGATCATCCAGCCCACCTGAGTGACTCAGCGTGGAGGTGGCACAGGTGGCCTTTTATTATAACTATTGTATTGGCTCAAGTCGTACTGCCGGCCCATCTGCTATCACGCTGGAATTTTGAACCCAGGAGATTCAGCAACTTCCTACTGTATCTGCTGTATGTCCCCCAGACAGTTGTAAATAAAAATGGTACAGTAGTAATTAACTGCTTGGGCAGAGTACAGACTTCTGAATTCAGCTGTGAGCTTTGAAACAAGGGTAATTATTGGTGTGTCTGGTTTGTGGCTGCTTCCACTAGCTGAAGTTCACTGACACAAGCTGCATAGAAAAAACTTTCAGCTGTAGCCTAGTTCTGTCAGGTGTTTGGAACCTGCTTGCTTTATGCTCTTTCTAGAAAGCTCTCATTCCCATTCAATCCCTCCCCTTTATTTGAGGAGGAACTGGAAGTATCAGTTCTCTTGAACATGAGCAGACTTGAGACAACAGTAAATCTCATCTGTTAATATAAACAGGTCTCTGAGGGTGAAGTTACATGTTACGCTTAGACTGTACTAAGCACACTTAAAATGTAAGCATCTGCACATTTAAATCTCATTAACGCATGCTAAGTGCCCTCTGAGCATCTTAGTTATGCCACTTCAGGTGAGTGTTAACTCTGGGTCATGCTACCTAGCTCATGTTGAGGTAACTTAAGTCTGCTCCACAAATATACAAGAAGCAATTTGCAGTCTTCTAGCATCTCAGGATGCACCACTCCCAGCCCCACACCCCTCCCACCCAGAGCATGGATGGAGCCCAGGTGTCCTGGCTCCTAGCCACAAATCTGCTCACCAACCCTTTAGTGGTAAGTCAGAGCTGTGCAGGCAAGAAGAAGTATTAACAGTTAATGTGTAACTGCTCACAGCATATTATTAGGCCTGTGCGAAGCAGCTAGTATTCACTTTGGATTCAGGCAATTCGGAGGACAGCAATTCGAATCACTGTTCCAAATCAATTCTGCCAAATCTGATTCAGAGATTTGGCCACTGCCAAATCTCCGACTCGGCCCCATCCCCTGCCTGCTCTCCCAGCCCCGTCAATGGCTGCTCACCTGCCCCAGCTCCCAGCTCTTTGGAAAAAAAAAGCCCGGCATTCACTGGCTGCTGCCAGGGGGCGATCCCTGCTGCCCCTCACTGCCCCATGCTGCATAGGGGGCTCTATCACAAGCCCCCATCCCCCACCTGCTGTCCCGGCCCCAGCTCCTGGCTCTTTAAAAAAATAAATAAAGCCCCCACTCACGGGCTCCAGCAGTGATCCCCACTGCCCCACACTGCATGGGGGACTCTGTCATGAGCCCCCAAAAGCCCCGAGGCTGCTGCAGCAGCCGGTAAGTGGGGGCTTTTTAATTTATTTTTTTCTTTTTAAACAGCCTGGAGCTGGGTGGGGCAGGCGTGGGGGGGAGGGGCTGGGAGAGCAGGCGGGGAAATGGGGGCTCGTGGCAGAGCCCCCCATGCAGTGCGGGGCAGCGAGGATCACCCCCCCACCTGGTAGCAGTCAGTGACTCCGGGCTTTTTTTCAAAGAGCTGGGGCTGGGCAGGGAAAGCAAGCAGGGGTCATGGGGTGCTGAGGGAGCAGGCATGAGATGGGTCCTGACAGAGGTCCCCCCATGGTCCCTTCCTCCCTCCAGGCCCCCCCCACCTCCCACTTAGTAACACAAGAGTCTGGGTCCAGCTCCCTGCTGCAGCCAGCAGGGACTGCCCAAATCTCTCCGAATCTTTACCAAATCGATTCGTAGAGCTTCAAATTGATTCAGACCTTTTTAATTGGTCTCCTGATTTGATTCAGATTCAGAGATTCAGCCACTGAATCGGGCTGAATCTCCTCCAAATCAAATCAGCACCCGAAGCTTCACACAGCCCTACATATTATAACTTTAACATTTCTTAACATTCCACCGATTCAGTATGCTCTAAGTGCAACTTCATCCTCAGTTTCGCAAGCCTCTTCTGTGTATTTGTGAGGCATTCCAGGCCTGGCCATTTTGTCCTCTTCCCACACTTCCCCAGTGCTGCATGCTGTTCCCTCCTTCTCTTTGTCTTTGTCTTCAGATCTCTGCTATCCAAACCAACACTTGTGCTGAAGGACTACTTTCTCAGGTTAATGAAACTTTAAAAGAGGAAGCTTAGTCTAGAGCAGGTAATTCCCACTGAATAATATATGCAGTGTACCCTTACTTTATTTCTTAAGGCTTATGCATACAGACTAAGAATCTTAAATTTCATAGATTTCATAGACATTAGGGCTGAAAGGGACCTCGGAAGATCATCGAGTCCAGCCCCTTGCCGGAAGGGCAGGAAGCCAGCTGGGGTCATAGGATCCCAGCAAGATAAGCATCCAAATTTCTCTTGAAGGTGTTCAATGTAGGTGCTTGAACCACCTCCAATGGCAGGCTATTCCAGACCTTGGGGGCTTGGACGGTAAAGAAATTATTCCTTATGTGCAGCCTGAAATGGTCTTGCAGTAGTTTATAACCGTTCGACCTCGTCATCCCTTGGGGCGCTCTGGTGAACAAACGTTCCCCCAGATACTGGTGGTCACCCCGATAAAGTCATACGTGGCTATCAGATCACCCCGAGCCTGTGCTTGCCCAGGCTAAAGAGCCTCATAGATCTCAGCCTGTCATCATAAGGTCTGTTTTCCTGACCTCTGATCATGCATGTAGCTTTTCTCTGGACTCTCTCAAGCTTCTCCACATCCTTTTTATGTTGTGGGGCCCAAAACTGGACTCAGTACTCCAGCTGCGGCCTCACCAAGGCCGAGTACAAGGGGAGAATGATGTCCCGGGATTTGCTTGAGAAGCACCTATGGATGCAAGCCAGCATTTTGGTCGCTTTACTAGCCGCAGCATCGCATTGCAGGCTCATGTTCATCTTGCGGTCAGTGATGACCCTCAATCTCTTTCTTCCACAGTGCTAGCCAGCATAGCACTGCCAAACCTGTAAGGATGCTGCAGGTTTTTCTTCCCAAGGTGGAGAACTTTGCATATTTCAGTGTTAAACACGATCAGGTTCTCGTCAGCCCATTTGCTGAGCCTGTCCAGGTCAGCCTGGATCACCTTCCTGTCTTCAGGTGTGGATGCTTTGCCCCAAAGTTTGGTGTCATCAGCGAACTTGGCCAGTCCGCTTCTGACTCCAATGTCCACATCATTAATGAAGATGTTGAACAATATGGGTCCGAGGACAGAGCCTTGGGGGACCCCACTGGTCACAGGGCACCATGACGATTGACTTCCATTAATTACCACCTGGGTCCGACCACGGAGCCAATTTCCCAGCCAGCAGATCATGGTGGACCCAAGGCCACAATTGGCCAGTTTCGTCAAGAGGTGATCATGCAATACCAGATCAAGGGCTTTTTAAAGGTCAAGATATACGACATCAATCTCTTCTCCCTTGTCCAGGTGATAGGTCACTTGGTCGTAGAAAGAAATGACATTTGGTCAAGCAAGACCTACCCACAACAAACCTGTGCTGGCTATTCCTTAGGATGTTGGTGTCGGCCAGTCAATTAAGGATGGCCTCTTTAATAAACTTTTCTAAGATCTTCCCCGAGATAGAAGTCAGGCTGTTGGGCCTATAGTTAGCCGGATCCACTTTCCTCCCTTTCTTGAAGATAGGCAACACATTGGCCTTCTTCCAGTCTTCGTAATTATTTGCGTTAAGGAGGATTAATTTTGCATAACAAATAACTAGCTAATTTTTTGAGTCACAGATTCTTAGTCAATACTTATTTCAGTCTGTTGGTATTATTTGTGATATCTGCAGTTGGATCTGTTAATTATCCAAGATTTTGCAAGTTTCTGTTTCCCAGTTGAACTAGTTAATTGATTAATACGTGAGGCACTATTTTCAAAGATGCATATATCATAATAGTTTCAAAATATATTGTGTTAGTTAATTATGTAAGATGGGGTGCTCAACCTACAGCCCATGGGCTAAATGCAGCCCACAGAGCCATGGCATCTGGGCTGCGGGGCTCCCCACAGGTCCAGAAATTTGGCACTGGGGGAGCAATGGCCATCAATATAGCCACCCTCCCCCTGCTAAATCCCCAAACCCCATTCCCTGCATGGCTGGTCAGAGCCAAGTTATATCCCCTTCTTCTGCAGGGCTGGGCCATACACCCTTCCCTCCCACTAAGGCTGGGCCAAGTTGGGGCCTCCTTTCCCTTTCTCCAAAGGGTAGTAGAGGGCTGGAGCAAGTTCCTTTCCCCTGTGGGGCTGCACTGGGGCCAACTCCTAACCCCCCCCCCTACAACCCCCAACTGCCTCCGCATGGCCAGACGGTAGCTGCCATGCTCACGCTGGTTCAGGAGTACTGGCCGGGTCTGGTCTGTCAGACAAAAATGTTGGGCACTGCTGATGTAAGGGCATCCAAGCAGGAAAAAGAAACACAAGTACATAACAAGCACACTGAGTTATGAATGTTACTGTCAACCATTCGACTCACAACTGGCTTCCAAAGTTTGATGCACAGCTTATAACATCAGCATCCTGCTTGTAAACATCAGCAGCTCAAACCTTCACAGACAACAAAATACAGTGGTTACAAACTTCCTCAAGTCAAAGTTTAGAATTGATTTCAAAATTAATATTTGCAGTAATAGTTCCCTTCCCTTGCTCAGTATTGTCTTGGCTCCTTTCACAACTCCTTCCATAAGAATATGGGTCCTGTGCCTAGTTGATGTGGGAACACAAACTAAAAATGGGTAAGAAAGTATAAAGACAACTTTCTCTTGTGTTCTCTTTGTTCTTCAGACAAAGACTGCCAAATAGAAGAAACACATTTGCTCTCCATGCTGGTTCCAAGAACTCAGCATGTACAAATGCCTGCCAACACCTTCATCCCTATCACTGTTCCTGCAGCCAAGGTTTCTAACGATTCAGCTTGTAGAAGGGTTCAGATGAAAAGGTAGGCATACAGGGGAAGGGAGGTAATCCAGCCACAAGGATAAGAAGCAAGTATATAGTCAGTGGCCAAAGAGCATAAAATAACCTCTCTTGAGCAACAGAAGATGGCTCCTCACAACAGTCAACACACAGTCAGTTGAAGGGGAAAAGAGCCCTTCACCCTCCCTCCTGTTGCAGTAGCCAGATAGTTTACTTTCCCTGCCTTGGTGGCTCAGCAGGGTCTTGCAAGAAATGCAGAGGCTGGGCCCAGATTTCCTCAGAA